CCTGTTGTTCATCGATTTGCTTGAGAGGGCCCAGTAACATTGTGAGACTTGTTACTGTCTTTGGCATATTGAATACATCACAAGTAGCTTGCCATGCTTTGCTGTGTGGGCGAGATACTCTCGGTAGCTTGCTGAGCTCTCTGAGAGGGGCAGAGGAATATATCAGTGGATATAAATATATAAAATATCATGATTAGAGAACACTGGTTACTTTTGTCTACTTAGCTTCTATTAAGAAATAGTCAGGCTATTTTGAGGGATAGCAAATCTGTTAAATCTGTTCTCATTGACTAGGGGATGATTATGCAAATTATGAAATTTTAACTAAGTGGACCATTATGATGATGATAAAATTATAGGTGTAATAAATATGTAAAAAAGCAAAAGGTAAGTTTAAACATAAGTACATATACATTAAAATTTTATTTATATAAAAATATCCTTTGAAATATTATATTTGTTTAATTGATTTTGTTTTATTAGTTTAATCAATTTGTTTAATTGAAATGACATGCATTATATCATTACCTATATTTCAATATGCTTTACTTTTCAGTAGTTTATTTTGAAACATAGATAATGAGATAATTTATGATTATATAAGTGATATTATAATCATATATTATTATACAAATGACAATAAATAATAAACACATGCTGCATGTATTACATTATGTTCACCCTTATAAGTCTAGTGTTTTCCTTCACCAAATGATTGTTCCCTCGGTCGGGATGGGAGATGTGTGCAGAAAGTAGATAAAGGACCAAATATCATAACCTCTCAGTGTCTGTATTACAAAACATAATGCCCAAAAGTAGAGAGAGAGAGAATATGGGGAATATTGTCTGCCATGGAGGCAGGGGGAGGGTGGGAAAGGGGGGGTATACTGGGGATATTGGTGGTGGAAAATGTGCACTGGTGGAGGGATGGGTGTTTGATCATTGTGTGATTGTAACCCAAACATGAGAGCATGTAACTATCTCACAGTGATTCAATAAAATTTAAAAGAATAAAAGAATTTTAAAATTTTAAAATTTAAAAGAATAAAAAATATATAAAAATAATAAATTGAAACATAAAAAACCCAAAACAATGATATATCATCTCAAACCACAGACACACATCCAAAAGAACAAAAGCAGCAAGTATTGGAATGGATATGGGAATAAAAGGACTCTTATTCATTGCTGGTGGGAATGCCAGCTGGTCCAGCCTTTTTGTAAAACAATATGAACTTTTCTCAAAAAACTATAAATTAAATTCACATTTGACCAAGCATTACCATTTCTGTGAAGATATCCTTAAGATGCAAAAAAATATAATAGAAATGATATCTTCACTTGTATGTTTACTGCATCACTATTTATAATAGCCAGAATCTGGAAAAAATATACCGAGTTCCCTAGGACAGACAACTGGTTGAAGAAACTTTGGTATATTTACACATGGAGTACTATGCAGCTAATAGAAATGATGATACTGGGAAATTTACACATAAGTGGATGGACATGGAGATTATCATGCAAAGTGGAATGCCTCAGAAAGAGAGGGACAGTCATAGAATGACTGTACTCATTTGTAGAATATAAAGTAACGGAATAGGAGACTAACACCTAAGGACAGTAGAGATAAGGGTCAGGAAGACAGCTCCACAGCCTGGAAGCCACTTTCCCATAATGGGGTACAGGACAACTGGGATAGAGATGGGACCACTAAGTAAATGATGGCTCAAGGGCTCGCTCTGGTTGGGAGATGTGTGCTGAAAGTAGACTATGAACCAAACACGATAGCCATTTAGTACCTCTATTTCAAATCTTAACACACAAAGGAAGAGAGAGAGTAAGAAGGAATATGCCTGCCACAGAGGCAGGGGGTGGGAATGGGTGGGTGTGACAGGAGGGACACTGGGAATGTTGGTGGTGAAGAATGGCTCTGGTGGAAGAATGGTTTAACGACCATTGTCTGACTGAAACGTAATCACAAAAGTTTGTAAGTCTGTAACTCTATCTCATGGTCATTCATTATAAAATAAAATAAAATAATCAAAACATTAAAAAATAATAATACAGTAAAAATATATTTCTAATAAAAATGAAAATACAAAAATAAAAAAACTCAAAAATGATTGTTCCTTTTTCTGAGTATTTAGGTGGTCATAAGTTCCTTCATTTTTTGTCTATTATCCTATTCATCTGTAATTTAATATTTTCTATGGTAGTAGATTTTCTTTCTCTTAATATGTTTGTGCATTGTATAGATTTCTGTAGTTATCAGTCCCACATAGATTATCATAACATTTTAAGTACTTTTAAGTTGATAATAATTTTGGTTTTCTATAAAGTTTCTTCAGAGTCATTATGTCTCCATTTTATGTTTTGGACATTATAATTGACCACTTTTATACTTTATATCTACTGGAAAGTATATTACTTATAATTGTTAATTAAAATTTGTATACCTGCTATGAGTGAGTGGTTTGGATACCACCATTACAATAGTAGAATATTTAGAATTTAATTTTATATTTTTCTTACTAGTAGGTTTATTCTTTAAAGCTCAGACCTTACTTCTGGCTCTGCTCTCAGGGACAACTCCTGGCAGTGCTCAGGACACTTACATATTGACACAAATCAAACCCACTTCAGCAGCATGCAAGGCAAATGCTTTACTATATCTCCTACCCCTTTGACATATTTTACGTTACTCACTAATGAATATAGCAAAAAAGTCATTCTATTATTGTTTGAACAAATCTGTCAGAGGAGAGACAGGTGGCAGAGAGAGTTTATTTCCAAAATACTGGAATCTAAGTAGGTTGTGTTTATATTCTAGATATGCATTTAGAATCTCAATATCTTCTAAGAAATAGTCCATAGTATTTTAATTTTTTGGTGGGTCACACCCAGCATTGCACAGGGGTTACTCCTGGCTCATACACTCAGAAATTACTCCTGGTGGTGCTTGGGGGACCATATGGGATTCTGAGAATCGAACCTGGGTTGGCCACGTGCAAGGCAAATGCCCTACCCACTGTGCTATTGTTCCAGCCCCAATGTTTTAATTTTTTAACCCTTATATCTGTTTAATTATGATTAGTTTCTGGAAATTTATCTTGATTCTTTGCTTGGAAGATACCTATTTTTTTCTTCTTCTTTATTGATGGGTTGATTATTGTGCTTTAGGTAAAGATGTTGCTTCTTGATTAAACAGGTTATTCTTGTATAAAAAATTAATCTTGGGGGGTTTGGTGCCGCCAGCAGGTCAATCTATACCTGTGAGACTGCGAGTGCAACAGCAGCCTGATGGCGCCTTCAGACTGCCAGACTAAAATTCCTGCTGTGCCTTTGGCCAGACCCCAAAAATCTGGGGAAAAGTTTACTAAGAAAGTAAATGGCCAAAAATTAGATATGTGGGAGACACACCCACAAACCACCTCCGGCTCAGCTATATAATTGGAGGCATGGCCTCTCTGGTTCCTGATTGAACTGCTTAATGACCATGATTCCAGAGTCTCAGAAACAAATCTCAAAACCCAGTGACTTTTTAGAGAAACGTGTCAAGTACCTGACGTAGGTTATAGGCGCTGGACCACCCCAGGTGGGAATAGGTTTTGTGTCTTGGCCTTTTTCCCCTGTTAGTCCGGTGGCCGCAATCCTCCAGAGGCCACTGGACAGTCAGATTTGGGCCCACAGTGACGAGACACATGGAGCCTCATGGAATGGAGGTGGAGCCAGCCCTTTCCTCCCTGTGCCATCGAGACCTCGAGTCGCTGCCCACAAATGGCCTCTATGGCTCCTGATCAAGCTGCTTAACGGTCGTGATCCCCGAGACTCAGAAACAAATCTCGAAACATAGCAGCATTAGGCAGAAATGCTTCCGGACCATGCTATTGCCGGGCCACCCCAGGGAGGAAAGGGTGCTTTCCCTCCACCTGCTCCCCTTTGGTGGCTCGGTAGCTGCCATCCACCAGAGGCCATTGGACAGTCAGGTTTGGGCCCATAGTGATGAGACACGTGGGGCCTCACAGGATGGGGGTGAAGCCGGCCATTTCCCTCCACCCCAACGAGACCCCAAGTCGCTGTCCATGAACAGTTTTTTCTGGCTCCTGATCAAGCTGCTTAATGGCCATGATCCAAGAGACTCAGGAACAAATCTTGGAACCCAGTAAGTTTTGGTAGATATCCCTACAGATTTAATCATTAACATTTTGGAATTTCAAAATTGTGTGGCCACTACTGCAGCCACATAACATCATATGTTATTCATAACCAGTAATAGAAAAAAAATTGTCTATAGTTGCCTTTTCAGCAGATCTGAGTGTTAGAGTAAAATCCCAAATAATAATGGTTGGTCTGGTCAAAATATTGAATGTAATCAAAGTAGAGAGAGAGTAATGTGGAAATCATCTGTCCCACAGGTAGGGGGAGGGTGTGGCATGGGGGCATACTGGGGTTTTTGAGGGTGGAGAATGAGCACTGGTGAAGGGACAGGTGTTTCATTGTACGACCAAGACTTAAACCTGAAAGCTTTGTAACTATTCCCACGGTGATTCAATAAATAAAATTATAAAAAATAAAAAAATAATCTTGCATATTAGTTCCTTCTCAGAAACGTTGTTTCTGGGTACCTCTAAAACTCTTCTGATGCCCAAATTGCTGTGTTGCCCTTACTGGTCTCAAGAGAAGCAGAATAGTGTAATAGTGTATGTGTGTGTGTGTGTGTGTGTGTGTATGTGTGTGTGTGTGTTTACCAATCAGATAGAAAAGTTTGCTATCAAAGGAATGCAGCAAAATAGAACAATGTAACTGACACTCTCAATTGAGAAAAATATAAATCCCATGGGCCAAACACATGTACAAGAACATTTATACATACTAAATGCATGTAAAGTGTAAGAAGTTTTATCAGTTTTCCATCTCTACCTACACAAAGTCCATAAATTCTCTCTTTACTGTCCCATGAATTATCTTGACTAAGACCACTTCTGGCATTTTCTCAGGTACCTGCAGGGCTCATTCTGGCTATACCATCTCCCACAGTGTGGACAGATGGCTCCAAAAATTTGACTAATGCAGACGGCAGTCGTCTCTTTTGACAAGTTGTGAACGGGTGATAGTGCAGACCCAAAAGAAAGCTTTTTCTTTTCCCATTCTCACCTGTGAGGGGTTCTTACAAAGTGTTTTTCATAGAGAATGAGAGCTCTTCTATCTCAGGGCCTCTGTTTTGTTTTAGAGTTAGTCATGTTATGTGGAAAAAAAGAAAAAAAACTGAGCAACATCAGGGAACGGAGGAAGCAATAAAAACATACTGAAAATGATTATAGGTTAAAAGTTGGCATTTGTATTCAAATGGTGTATGGATCAAGGCATGGCAATTTTCAGAAGTTAAGAAAAAGAATCAGTTAAAAAACATTTTTCTTGAAGAAAACTTAAGTACTGAACAACCAAATTGTGCTGTATGATTCTCTACCTTTAAAATATATATCATCAAAAATATAATTGACATAGATTAAGTTTGACAGAGAGCTCAGAAAATTCTTTAAAATACTCTTTCCTGCTCCACGTAGTGCACCAAAGGGTGCTTGCAATCAAAATAGAATAACATCTATATCCCATCCCATTTATTTTTTAATCTTCAGTATTCACTGTGGGACAAAGAGATTAAGTCACATCTATGTTATGGCAAAAGTACAGTCATCTAGTTGGGAGAATTTATGAGACCAGTTGAGAATAGTAAATGAGATCCGTATTTGTATTATTTCCAAAAAGACTTTTGAAAAAAGCTTAGAAATCAGACAAAAAATGATCCAAACTGTTGAATTGGTGCAGACAGACAGAGTTGAAAGGGAGAAGTGTTGAAATTCTTCATAAAGCAGGTGGGGGCATTGGTGATGGCTGTGGTTTGGAATTGTGTGCATGAGAAATCATTAAAAAAAATCAAACAGAATTTTAAAACAATCTGTCAATTGCAGTTGATTAAAATAATTAAAACAGAAAGAGAAAGATCAAAAGAATGTTCCATAAAGGATATATGTTACATCTTGACATTCGGAGAATAGGTGAAGAAGTATGGACAGTTTTCGTACTTTTTTAAAAAATTATCTTTATTCCTGAAATGATTTAAAAACAAAATGTTTAAAAAATAAAATAATTAGATAAAGAACAAAAGTATGATTATGCTATTAATTTTAAGGAAATAATTACTCCACAGATGAATTATATATAAATATGAATTATACATTTTATCTATATTTAATATATGTATTAAAACATAGTACTGTAGTACTCTCATCCCATTGTTCATCGATTTACATGGATCTTTGAGTTTATAGCATATTATGAATGATGGTGCAACAAGAAATTTTGTTGTGGATACATGTTTTTATGTTTATTTGATCTGCATGTAAGCCTATAGTTGCTGGATAATATAGTTACCCTTCCCTGAATATTAAAGATATATAAAAAAAATTGCAAAAACTTGTGCTAAATTCATAAGATTTCTTCATATCCCCACCTATTTTATTGCATATATTCCTTTTTATACCTATAAAAATTTTATACTTAGGTGTGAGTTATTTCATTATGTAGAGATTTAAAGATATTCTGGATATATTTATCTTCAGAATTTCTCAAATCATTCAATTCTATTAGCAGTTATTTTATTGTTTCCTTTGTAGCGAAAAAATGGTTAATTTTTAATGAATTTCAATTTACCTATCATTTTGCACTTGCTCGTAAGACAATTATTGTAATATAATGTTTCTTATATAGGGGTCCTGCATTTCTACTGTTGGCTCTGTTTTCGAGAATCACTCTTGAAGATGCTCAGGGAACAATATTCAGAAATCAAATTTAGACCAGTCCCATAAAAGATTTTACATCCTGTACTATATCTCTCACCCTGATGCAGAGTTTCTGACGATGTCTACTTATTTTTTATTGCATATTTTTATGATGAACTTTTGTTTTAGAATTTAGTTCGTTTGTTGTGGCTAGTTATTGATCTCCAAACTTTTTCTACTTGTAGTTTGTTGATATTGGGCATTTAGAGTAATGTTTTTCATGTAATGTCTTGGGCCATTATTCCTTTAAATTATTTCATTTTTTTCTTTTTCTTTTAAGACTCTCATTGTGATTGTACATAAAATCATGGCTTTATTTTTGATAATTGGTTAATTTTTTGCTTTTTATTCATATTTATAATAGTCATATTTTATGCTTGGTTTATGCAGTTTTCCAGATTAACAAAACTTGTCTGTTTTCAAATATGCTGCTTTGTTTCTGTCATTTCAATATTCAGCTTCAAAGTACACTTTTATGTAAGTTCTATATCTTTATATAGGCTCCATTTGGCATTAATGTTTTCTACATAATTCAATTATTTAGATATTTGTTTGAATTCATTTTAGCACATTATATAAATAAATAAATAAATAAATAAATAAATAAAGGCCCTCCTGTTGAATATCGATTTGCTCGAGCGGGCCCAGTAACGTCTCCATTGGAGACTTTGTTGTTACTGTGTTTGGCATATTGAATACGTCACGGGGAGCTTGCCAGGCTCTGCCATGTGGGCGAGATACTCTTGGTAGCTTGCGGGGCTCTCGGAGAGGGGCAGAAGAATCGAACTCGGGTTGGCCATGTTGGCTGCGTGCAAGGCAAACGCCCTACCGCTGTGCTATCGCTCCAGCCCAGCACATTATATAAAATGATTTAAAGTTTTTGACTAGCAAATTTGAGTTTCTCCTCGGTGTCAATTTCTATTAAAAGTTTGCTCATACATGATTCTACTTTGCTCTTTCATTGACTTTCTCATATATTTATTTGGTTAAACACTTGACATTTAATTAGTTTATTTATTTTTGGGGTCACACCCGTTGGTTCTCAGATATTACTTCCAGTTCTGTTCCAGAGATCCTGGCCTTTTTTGGGGGACCATAATGCAATGGGGACCATAATGCAATGGGATCCAACCGGAGTCAGCAGCATTCAAGGCAATTACCTTAACTCTTGTATGATCTCTCCAACTTCAAAAACTGGATATTTTGAACAATATAATCTGAAAATTCTGCAAATTACATGTTATAAGGACATATTTGTTCATTCTATTTGCTGTAGATATTTGTTTGATTACTTTCACTCCTTGAATAGTCGTGTAAAATTTATTCTTGTTTAAGAGCACCCACTAAAGTCTGCTTAATATGCTTACACATTTACCAAAGATTAGACTACATTTAAGTTCTGAAGTTAGGAAGATTATTAGTACTAGTATTTTCAGAGGAGGTGTTGGGTCTGATTGGTTTATGTCTTCAGTGCTGATGCTGCTCAACTGTACTTTAGTAATTACTTCTGTTTGTATCAAGATCATCATCAAGATCAATCTGTGGTAGTAGGTTCAGACATTTCCAAATATTTTCTTCAATTGTACACAGATTTTGTACAAACCTATATATGTAGTCTTATATAACCTTTATTTTGTCAAAACTTCTTAGAGTCTCATTCCATAGACTTTTTTGTTATTTTGATTATCTTTTCTCTGGTTCAAGTGCGTATGCTGCTTCCTACACTCTAACTTCAAACTTCTGCTGACTTTTTACTTTTTTATTTTATTTTTTTGGTGAACTAATGCCCCAGAGATAGGACATTTCTATTTTGATGATATTCAAGAAGTTAGAGTAAAGTAAAACAAGCCTTGTGAATGGAACTTTTCCAGGTAGATTTACTGTGATTTCCTACAGAACAGATGACATAATCACAGACTTTTAGGGACTATGCTTTATGGAATGTCTACAACACTCTTCCCCTAGAGCTGCGTGGTTCTGATACTAACTGCTCTCATGTTTCCAAGCCAGCTGATTTTACAGGGGCTGCCTCTGAATTTGTGTGTGGTGAGGTTTGGGCACGAGCTTTGGGCAAACAAAAATACCAGTGCTTAGTATGCTATCCACTTCCCCCCGCTTGTCATGAAGATTCTGAAAGAATTGCTCAAAGTCTTCATTAAAAAACTGCTTTCTTAAAAATTAAATTTGATCATTTTTCCCAGCATTGTGATAGCTTTTACTGAGGTTTATTTCACCATTCTCGAAGTGCTGTGTGCTCGATTTGGACGTTTTAAATTTAATTCTAAAGTCTTAATGAGGAAAATGTTAGTGAGAGAGGTTGCAGAAACCGAAAGACTGAACATAGGGACAAATCTAAGGTGTTAGAGAAAGTCACTGTGTTGTGGAAACAGCATGATCATTTGATTTCTACTTTGTGTGGCTCAATTCTAGTCATTAACTTTAACACTTTGAATTTTTCTTTTTACTCACTTTTGCCCATCCTTTTTTTTTCATATGTAATGGAGTTATTGATATCATCTAAAAGGTTGTTGCAAGTCTTAAATATTAATACTAGGATTCCAGCAAGTTGCGATTTTGTTTTGGCTTTTTCAAATACAGTCAAAGTCATTAATACTGTGTTAGTGAATATGTATAAAATCATAAAATCACAAGAAATACTTTGATGATTTCTCTATCTAGTGCCCATATTTTCTGGTAGTACTTTTTACTCATATCAACCTATTTTAGTAAGAGTAAGAAAAACATGGATCAAATACCTTAATTTTTATTGATATTTTTCTGCAAGATATTTTATTTATAAAAATGTTCTAACAAAATATCATCAATTTATTATCAATTAAAACATTTTCAGAATTGTGTAACATCTTTCAGGGCTAGACACAGGAAAATGATTTATCCTGGTATTTCCGATCTGAGCTTTTCTGAATTTGCTTATGGACTCTTTGATGTTGATGTGACTTGTCTAGAAACTGGACTTCAAAGAAAAAACAATATCATTAGGAAAAAAATCCCTCTCCTTCCCCATCCTATCTAATGATCATGAAACTTTAAACTTCATCTTTGGATAGGAAGAAAAAAAAAACCCTTTATTTTGAACTGTATTTTTTTCTCTTGAAAGGGAAATTGATGGAAGACTTCAAAGAACCTGTCACAAAAGGCATCATACCTTGAGTTGAAGTTGTGATTTCTGCAGACCTTAGTTCACCCCTCAGGGAGACATATAGTTTTATCTCTAAAGGCCTTAGATCTAATCA